GTCCCCCCCTCGTGCCCCCCCTCAGGGCGCAGCCAGGGTGGGCGGCAGCCACGCGTGCCCCAGGGTGCACCCCCTCCGGGCACAGCCAGGGTGGGCTGCAGCCACGCGTGCCCCGGCGTGTGCCCCCTCCGCGCATAGCCAGGGTGAGCTGCACCCACACCTGGTCCAGGTGACATGCCACCGAGGCAATGCGGGTGGGAGATACCCACTCTGGGCGCTTGGTCCCAAAGGGAGGCAGCGTAGCGAGAGGTGGCACGACCCAGAGCTGATGTTCTTGGCCAAAATGCTTCGCTGCCGCAGTTTCCTGACTTCTCGCATGGGGCGAGACCCTTTCCTTCAGGGTGTCTGTGTTTCAGTGCCCCGCAACACCCGTTAATCTCCCCTTGCCTGCTTGTTGCCACAGACGCTCTCCCCTCTGCGGTGTCTGTCCATACCTGTTTTGGAGCTGATGTGCTAGTACATGTTTTGGGGCACAATGTGCATATGTAACCCATGCGATGATTTTGGCAGCTAAACCTTAACGTACAATATGTGTGTTTCTACCAATGCACAGAGAGGAGTTATACTTTGCCCAGATTTTCATTAGATGTGATGCGGTTCTGCCCATATGGGTGACAGAAACTTTTAAAAGAAGGTATCTGGACCCAGAAGAACGCTTAAGATGTGACGATAATGTATGGTGCTACAAGAGTTGACATGTCATAAGTGGACTATGCAGAGAGGAACTCAAGGTATTAGATTTCTAAGGGCTGACTGTCACAGAAACTACCTGCTGTAAAGGTTTGTATGATCTTTGGTCATGCGTTAGAATAATGTGGTGAACAAAACATTTAGGGGATTAAAGCTGATGGAGAAGGCTGCAGAGGGTGACTAACAAGATGAGGCAAGTGCTGAGCTGGGAAAGAGGAGATACTGGTTGATAGTAATAACAGGACTTTCCAATTCTAGAATATTTCATCTCAATTCCAGAATATTTTTCAGGGGAATATGTTATCCCTGTTTCACATAGAGGGCAAATGAGCTGCAGAGATCAAGTGATTTGGGTGACGGTCTCAGACTGAATAAAGAAAGGAACAGAATTCCTGACAGCCGTGTTGTACATAATGTAAAACATACAGAGAGGTTACGAGGGAAAGTCTGTGATGTTTCAAGTCCATATTCTGCTCTCGCTCACACCAGATGCATCATGCTCATGGCAAAGAACGGGATTTCAACATACCTGGCATTTCTAAGCAGCGAGAGAATGCATACACGTCATTCATGCCATAGAAAAAGGTTTCCTTGTTTGTGGTGTGTCGAAGGACATCCTCCCAGCCCCAACAAATTCCCTGCCCTTAGCAGCTCAGGACAGCGTACCGACAAGTTTGGCTCCGGTAGGGATGGAAAACATGCCTGCGATTATATAACTGAGTGAACAGCACTGCTCCTTGGAACCAACTATGCAAACGTTGTTCCCCGACAGGAGGCAACGTAACTGTACACGATCACTTGGCAGCCACTGAGCTCAGCCCCTGTAAGAGAGGTAACACAGCTACGAAGAACCAGGTCTCGTTATGAAGTCACTCCCCATGTGAAGGCGGGTAAAAACCCGCCACCGCACGAGAGCAGCACGCGAGGGGATTCGTGGGCGGGTGCCGTCGAGGCTCCCGCGGGAGCCGGCGGGAGGCAAGCGGCACCC